CGCGTTCTTGTGTACTTAGAAAGCATTGTTATTTTGTACTCGCGTGATATTGTAAATAAATTGTATACCTGTTGTACTAAACGAATCATACCGAGTCGTTTTATTTCATCACACATTTCACATTTTATGGTTTCAGAAGTTCACGCACGTCACCAGATTGATCAATAAGTCGCTTGTGTGTGTTTGTCGAGTCGCGTCCGGTTACGGTTGCGACTGACTCAAACTGAATTTCGTCCAGACGCGTTGAATGGGACGTTCCCCCATTTAATTAATGCTCGATTTTAAATCGAAAGTGGATCTGTATTTCTACGCGGATCTTACTGTCTATGCGTTCTGATTTCTCTCACTTTTACTAGCAAGTCGCAGTCAACTGAACTGCAAAGCGTCGGATTGCCCTCGATCCAGCAGGGTTCACCTACCGAAATTCGAATATTATTACGGATGAACAGATTGTTGCCGAGAATGGCAACAAACCGAATAACTTCTTCATGCTAATAAAAAAGTTTCAATTAGCTAAGGTTTTACGTTGAAGATTGTTAGAACCGCCTCGTTATTCGATGGAGAATGCTTGGAAACCACGGTTTGTCTCGTTTTATCGACGGTATTACCAAACATATTCCACCGCGTCAAACCTCTCTCTATTAAACATTCTGCAGAGTGCACGAACAGGCGAGCAGAATTTCCATGAAATCGCGTCTCTCGGCTCGTACAAATTATCGAAGAAAGCACGCTTTGTGCGGAGAAGAAGAGTCTTTCGGGACTGGCTGTGACGACCGGCAAACATGATCGACCGGCTCTCTGGAGGAGTAACGATAAATCGAGTCGCCTCGTTGGCTGCACCTGTACCTAATCATCATCCTGTTAGCTCTCACGACTGCCGTTGTCCCTGCCTGCCCCGTTTGCTCAGCCACGAGCGAGGGTGATAATTCAATGTAGAATCAGAATCCGTCCCCCAACCCCGGCCGAGATCCGCCGGGCGCGTACGCACCGATCAGCTCTCGCCCTCCCGCCGCAGTCGTCCGCCGTTGTCTCGGAGCTATATATTCCACGGCATACGCAGGAAATGGTGTTTAATGCCCGGCGGGTCAGGCCGGTTCTGACCCCCGGTGGTTGGACGGCCAGTCGATGGAGGATGAACGCGGAGAACGGCCGACAGAGAAAAACGGAACGCGTTGCGTCGGACGGGCGACGAGGACAGGCTAGTGGTCCCCACCGAGCAATTGACGTGTCCGAGGAAGTGATGGAAGGATGGCACAATGTGCTTGAATGTCCCATAAGCGAGCGGGTTCTATATTAAACTCCGGTCCGGTTACAGGTCGTTCGTTCGGTTGTCTATCGTTCAGTCACTGGACTGTCTCCAGACGGCCGGATCGGTTCTCGACCGACAGCAGGACAACGCGCGCGATCCATCTCTCCTACTCCTCGTTTTCCATCGTTGTCTCTCTCTCTTTCTCTGTCTCTCTGTCTCTCTCTCTGTCTCTGTCTGTCTGTCTGTCTGTCTGTCTCTCTCTCTCTCTTTCGCCTCTCTCGCGAAGCGTAACCCGCAGTGCTCTCGCTGTGCCCTCGCGAATCCGATCGATCGATCGATCGCTTGACTCAGCGCCGAACTCGCGCACGGACGATGAGCCGATCGAGCGGTTTGCCGTCTTCTTGAGAAAGCTGCGTGACGATTACGTGATACACATACACACGCACACACAGGCGCAACTGAAGCGCGACTGAATGCTCGATCGGCCATCGAGGAACAAGGAGAACCAGGATTCGAGGGGCTCCTGGCCCGATCGACTCGCTGTGGCCTCGCAAGTGGCTCGCGGAGTTTGCGCGTGACGTGTAAGTGTTCTACAAATTCCCGGTTCCGATTATCCTACACCTTTTTTAACTATATTTTTTCCCTTTCAATTTTCGTTATTCCAGTAACAGTAATTTAGCACCGATGTGGTATTGTTGTTGTACCAAGCGGTAAAAGAAGTGCCGTTTTATAACAAAAACACGTAGTGAAACGTAGACACGAACATTCTTGCTTCAACTATCTTTGTAACAGAATTTTTATTTTCATTGTAAATGACAGGTAGATCTCTGAAAATTTGTACACGAAGCTTGGATAAAATAGCATCGCTCGATGATGCTGAAGGGTGCGATATTGTTGCTCCTTCATCTGTTCTGCGAAATCGGTGAGCGTAAATTTCAATCTCTCCTTTCTTCTTTTTTTCTCTTTTTGGAAAATTGCATTTGGAAATACAAACTCGTTGACTCGTTCAATAAAGATTGCTAACGATAACATTGCTTGTGAATTCCAGCATTGGCAGCACAATGCGGCAAAGTATGGCTGACTGTCTCCTCATTGTGGAGACCAATCGCTGCCAGCGACAAGGTGGTCGACGCTGAGCTCGAAGTAAATTGGGATCTCGATTGTCCATCGAGCACAGGATATCCAGATACCATCAAGGTGTTCACTGCTGACCCAGCACATAGTAATAAGTTTTGTTTGCTTCTCTTGAACTCGTGATTTCCCCCCCCCCCCTTAGGAATTTAAACTCTGTTCTGTTCGATCCATAACGTAATTTCTTCGATCATTCTTATTTCCATTTTCTGCGGAGCGTATATTTCCCTCAGTTTCGTCCGAAGTTTACAGATTTAGGCGTAACCGTCGCGCGATATCGGTCGTGAATGTCACAAGGCGCAACCGTCGACATTGCACTTTCAGACAAAACGGTGAAACCTAAGCTGATTCTGACCTCGCTGCAATACCCACGGGGTTACTATCGAACGAACATCACCGTGGGACGGCCACCGCTTCCGGGTGGATGGGACACCAAGGACGGCGCGACACTTCCTGGTCCGCATTGCTTGAAACATCACGCTGCTCTTTACAAGGACGGGGTCATCCTTACCAGCTCTTGCCTGCAGATTTGGCCAACGTGGATGTACGACTTGAGGTAACGTATCTCTATCTTTCCATAAATTTCCAAACAACGTTACTCATTGCCGCATTCGTATGAAAAGAAAAGAAAAAAAAAAAAAAATGTTTGCTCCTCTTCTTTGTCTTTTAGGAGACAGTTAGGAAGACTTCCGATAGGAAGCTTGATGATACCCGGGACGCATAATTCCGGCTGTTACAAACACGGTGACCTGACGAGGCGAGACGCGTTTCAAAGATACCTTCTGACGCAGGATCGCGATGTGTGGACACAATTAGTGCACGGTGTGAGGTATCTGGACATCAGGGTAGGTTACTATCCGTCAATTCCGAATGGCACGGCCGTCGAGGAGGGCAACCACATCAGCAGATTCTGGATCAATCATGATGTCATACGGATCACCCCTCTCTCGGCCATCATCAAAGACGTGAGAAACTTTCTGAACGTCGCTAGGGGAGAGGTGGTCGTCATGGACTTTCATAGGTAAATTAGGACGACATGAAATAATGCGCCATTGCCGATTTGACGGATCGATAATGCTGGGAGGAACGATTTCGGTGATGGTCGGGTGGAAAATTGATTTCAAATGGCTGAATGAAATTGAGCGCAGTAGGTCGAACGATATTTAGCAATTGGAGAGGGGATTTTTGTTCGGAACGGACGTACGATTTCATTACACGAGATGGAAAATTATATGAAATAATACTTGGCGATACGTATTTATATACGTACATGTAGAACATCTAGAGACTATATATATGTACTATATATGTAATGTATAGAGTTATACTGCTTGTAGGTTCCCTGTGGGATTCGAAGATAGGCCGAGTAGGCATCGTCGATTAGCCATGATTCTCTTGCGAGAATTCGAAGGCCTGATCTTGAAGCCCGATAGAGGGGTCGAAGGTCTGGGTCCGACCCTGAATGATATCTGGACCGGAGGGAAACGCCTGATAATTTGCTACGGCGACAAGCACACCGTTAATGGTAAATTTACTATCAGCTTCCTGTTCTCTCTATAGAAATCGTCCAGTTCGACTTTCCAGCTAGTGTGGAAAGGAAAAGAGAGGAACAGTAATTTCTACAGCCGTGCATCGATTTTATTTCAGAGTACGACTGGCTATGGCCAACGATGTCTCAAGCCTGGGGCAACCAACAGACCGTGGAAGGTTTGTTCAAGTATCTGGACAAGGTAATCATGGGTCCGAAAAAGTCTCGGAACAGTCAAAATCCACTGTGGGCAGTGATGGCGGAGTTGACACCATATCCGTTGGACATAATCTTCAATTTGTCCGGCGGATTGCGGCAGATGGCCGATTCGGTGAACAGAAATCTCACGTACAAGTTCCAGGAGGAATGGTGGAAGGAGACGAACATCGTCGCGACGGATTTCTTCCTCGGGAACAATCTGATCGATGTGTCGATACAAGCGAACATTAAGAAGAGCAATATCGCCCAGTGGCGTCTGTAACGTGACAGCAACAATTCGGTGTATTCTACGAAAATTTCACTTCACATTAGATTGTTGAAGTTTGACGAGGTTTTACGTCTTTTTAGAAATGATCGAGTCGCTTTTACGGAAGTAAATTTCCCAAGTCGTATCCGAGATTTATCACTTGACGAATGAAGATATATAAATATTTCTCAACTTTGTTTTGTCGGACAATTGGAACGTGAGAAATTGATCGAAATGAAGTGAGTAAGAGAGAATAGAAATGTTTAGAAGTTTTAAAGGAGCAGGAGTTAAAGAATCTTAGGGTAACTGTTGTAAGAGATATGTAAATTAAACGCTCTTAAACGAAAGTATCAATACATGCACTAACAAAAAGGTACGCTTTTATCCCTTTCAGTCAAAAAAAAAAAAAAAAAAAAAAAAATCGAGCTCTTTAATATTCT